TAAATAGCAGCACACGTGTAGATTACCTAGGGTAACCCTGAAAAAAATCATGGTATGTCATGGTCACCTTGAGGGAGCCAAAGCCCACTCAGCACGGTCACAAAAAATAACGAAAACCGTAATAACACTCCCCCTTCCCCACGTACATGAAGAAACTGCCAACAGATAATAGGGATTGTATTAATGCTTAATGGGGACTTTTCAGTGCAGTATACAACATCCATTTCACAGTACTGAGTAATAAGACGCTTCAAAAATAGTGTTAATAACATTTCTGTATAGTTAAGCTGTTATTCAACTACTCAACTACTATGGGAAACTTGAGGAAATTAAAAATGTATCAGGGAATACGACAAATTCTAACTATACAATAGAGCAGAAAGTAATGTGAAGGACCTGGGAGTGATAATGTCAGAGGATCTCACCTTCAAAGTCCACAAAGTATCTACCTCATCTGCTAGGAAAATGATAGGATGGATAATGAGAACCTTCAAAACTAGGGAGGTACAAAGACAGACTTCAACGCTTGCCCAACCTTTGGACGACGACCTACTTACACTAGTGGCAGGTCCCACTGTGATCCCGCCTCCTCCTGCTTCAACTCATCTCACCGCAGTATATAAGCCACCTCTCTGGCCCTATGCTGCACTTCTTACAAGAGTGATGGACTGAACACATCGATTCCAGGTTGAGGGACTAATTACCTCAAACTTCTTCTCTCCTTACCCAATTCTACTTTGTATTGGACTGATGAAGCCACTGTGTGGCGAAAACGTTTCTTCAATAAAGATTCCCGTGTGTTGCATGTCTCAATTCTTCAATATTATGTGTATTTTTGTACTCCCGGGCAAATATTCTTATTACAGTTTGGATGATGAGCTAAGAATAATATGGTAATTAACAGGCTAGTTGAAGCTTTAATCATCCAGATTGAAATAGAGATACATGATAATATACACTTGGAAGGTCCTGGTGGGATTGGTATCAAACCTGCACACGAAAATCACTCCCTGTGAAAGCAAAAGACTCGGCAGGAAATGCAACATTTCCCCGATGACAAGCTGGGGCGCCACGAGTACATTGAGGGACAACACAATAAGTATCCGGGGCCCAAGACTGCTCAGCTGCCTCCCAGCATACATAAGGGGGATTACCAACAGATCCCTGGCTGTCTTCAAGAAAGCACTGGCAGGCACCTAAACTCAGTAGCTGACCAAACGGGCTCTGGTTCGTACATCAGCTTGCGTGCAGCCGGCAGTAACAGCCTGGTTGATCAGACCCTGATCTACCATGAGGCCTGGTCTCAGACCGAGCCGCGGGGGCGTTGACCCCCGAAACCCTCTCCAGGTAAGTCTTTTATAATAACCTAGTAAGATTAGGTTAGGTAAGGTTTGTCAGGAAACAGGGCAAGTGTTTCCTGACGCGATGGCCCGGCGTTGGAGCTTTTGGTCATCTGACCAAGGCCTTCCGCTGGCTCACCGGTCCACTCCTTTAAAAATTATGGTCATAGTAAATTAACTATGCAAAACAAAGTCAAATACTGACTTAATTTCTCTGCTGTTATATGTCATATGTTACTCTAACCCTAATAATAATAATAATAATAATAATCTTTATTTCTACAAGTATATGTACAAGGTATACAGGCCTAGCTGACATCAGTGACATACTACTATATAGAAAACCACTTGTTATGTATAGCATTTCGGGGAAATTAGGTCAATTTTGTCCCAGGATGCGACCCACACCAGTCGACTAACACCCAGGTACCCATTTTACTAATGAGTGAACATGGACAACCGGTGTAAGGAAACACGCCCAATGTTTCTACCTTCGCCGGGAATCAAACCCGGAAAGGCCACGAGTCATCGTAATAAACAAGTCAATTGTTTGGATTTATTGGGTTATACTCGGTTAAATTATAAATGATTTACCATATAAAACCATTACACAGCTTCAAATTAAGTATGAAGCCTAAATAAAAATTTACTAACCTTTAATAAGAAAGTTTTTGAAGATTTAGTAGTCACATCTTAATATTTTGCAAAATACTCTTGCCAACTAAAGAAAACTTTTTTAAATGGTACACTGCTTCACTTTATATAAGTATCCAATATACTTACGATTTTATAGCAATAAAAAAAATAAACGTTATAGGCATACAACGGTGGTAAATTATACCTTCATTCGAGTCCTCAGTCTTCTTCGTCTCGTAATATTTAAGCACTTATGTATATATACTGTCTTATCACGGGTCATCTATGTGTTTAAGACCCGTGTCAGGAGACACTTGTCTTATATACTGTCTTTTTAACTAATATATTTTTTAAAGGGGTAGACGGTCCGATGACCAAAAGTTCCAGTGGCGGGTTATCATATGCTCCGTGGCCTGGTAGGCAACGATCTCGTCTCACACACTGTGGTCTACATATGCTGCTATGTATGATAATCTATGTAATTGTATTTGTGCATACCTGAATAAACTTACACAGTGTCCGTGGTTCGACCCCCAGCAAGGGGTGGAAACAGTGGGCGTGTTTCCTTACCTGTTGTCCCGTTCACCTAGCAAGCAAGTAGGTGTTAGGTAAGACACATATGCAACAGTTAGGTATCTTTATTTCGAAACGTTTCGCCTACACAATAGGCTTCTTCAGTCGAGTACAGAAAAGTTGATAAAAGCAGAAGAGACTTGAAGACGATGTAATCAGTCCATCACCCTTGAAGTTTTGAGGTGGTCAGTCCCTCAGTCTGGAGAAGAGTATTATTCCATAGTCTGAAACAATATGGAGTTGAAGTGATAGGATGGAGCCTTATATAGCGCCAGGAGGTGAGACGTAGGTCACTAGTAGAGGTAAGAACGTAGACGTTGGGAGGTCAGGTCCCTCTCAAATCCAGCCACTCTCACTAGAAGAGGTTGTCGAACTTAATTTCAGGTCTGTACCAAGATACCCTTGTGTTGCAGTGTCTGACAGAGTGAACATTAAAATGGTATAATGAAGACTGAAGTTAAACACGCACCAAGGCTTATTGACTGAACACCTAAAACTTGCTTCTGCAGGGGGGTAGGGAATAATCACCTCATATCTGCATCTCCATTACTGTTGTCTTTTCTGTATTTCAACTGAAGAAGCCTGCTGAGCAGGCGAAACATCTCGTCAATATAGATACCAAACAGTTGGACATGTGTCTTACTCATCTACTTGACGGTATTGTATCATTATATTCTACATTAAGAGATCCTGCCGTCCAGAGCGCCCTGTTTGCTGAGTGCCACTCACTCTGCCTATCTCCTGCAATAACTTTCGCTTGTACCACATACATCCTAACCCACTCCCACAGCTATAGATTCCTCCCATCCCAGACGCTTTATTGTTTCTCACAACACAGTGCTTAACTTCTAATTTTTTTCAACACAAAAAATATGAAATGAGATAATCCAGTAGCTCGTGTGGTTACAGGGTAAAATCTGGCGGACCTTTACATTCTAGGCGCCCTTTTTTTTTTTTTTTACTTGTAGTAGAGATAGGGCTATGTCAAGGCTATTCCTAGATAAGGTAACTGGCATGGCGGTTTCTTCATATAGAAACCGTATTAGGTGTAAGGATTTTAAGCTAAAATGTGCTTTGGACTTTACCAACACCTGATTCAGTCCTCTACATTTCTGATACCCTTCTGCCGGCACGCATTACATCAGCGCATATGGTAATACACCATACCTGGAGAATACCTGGAGAGGGTTTCGGGGGTCAACGCCCCCGCGCCTCGGTCTGAGACCAGCCCTCGTGGTGGATGGCACTGAGAATCAGATTTGCAGCCAAGGAAATATGAGAGTAGGTAAAATCATGGGAATTTTGAACAACTTAGTATAGCTGATCCACTGGATATGCATGAAGCTCGAAAAGAAGAAATAATGTCATCTAAACCAGAGGAGCTTAAACTGCTCCTAAACACACAAACCATGGTTAAACTGAAGGAGAAAAAACTTGACAAAACCACGAGATGCCAACACGACTGAACGCACCACATTTATCACCAAAGTTAACAGTATATATTGGTCCCACTCAAGAGATTTGAACGGGATACAATGTCAATAAAATGTAGAGTCGAAGGCTATATGAAAGTTGAACTGGATTACAGAAGTAGGTATACTTACACAAGTGACGCTTGACGATGTTATCTCACGTTATACTGTATTAAAGAATATGGGTTCGCTTGCCTAGGCACAAAATTCAGCTCTTTAAAGCTCTCAAAAGAAAAAAACAAAACAATGATAATCATAATCCTTTAATTTTTTTAAGTTTAGTTACGCTATCAAAATTACTTATTGAAAACTGTATGTAGTATGTAAACAGCAGCTTAACCGCCCTCCTGCCCCCCCAATATATATATATATATATATATATAATATATATATATATATATATATAATATATATATATATATAAAGTTAACACGGAACAAACGGCTAGTTCAGAGTATATTTTTAAAGCTTCCCACCACCATCCGACATTACAGATCACTAACAGTAAATAGGTTAAAAACAGAGCAACAAAGCACTGGTGAGACCAAATATAACCGCTACAAGCCCCAGGTGACCCTCACTAACCGAACATTATGCCGAACACAGCGCCTAGCCAGACTCGCTCACAAATATTCCGGGTGTAGCTTCCCATACCTAGATAAAGAAGTTACATTTGGATAATGAACAAACTAATAGAAGCCAATGACATGCCTCGTCATCATATCAAATGCGATCAAATAATTAATCCCAAATCCGACAAAATTAGATAAAATCTAGAATACATGCCTCCACTACCACCTCTGTATTACGTAGGTAATACAGAAAACTTGGAAAGGCCCAGATGTAAGAGGGAACAAAGGACCCAACAGACTTCCGTCCAGTCAGCAACCAATTTCTTCTACTTAGTAATTTAGAAGGATGACATAACTACTTACAAAGATCACCGGAAGGGTACGAAACATTGTAACGGCCAACGTACCTGGACACAAGCAAACAAAACTGAATCTGATGTAGAAGTAACGGATGTGGAAGCAGAATTTGGTATGGAATCAGACGATGACACCAAGTGATGTTTGGGCCGCAGACTCTCCAGCAACTGGAACGAGAGAAACAATTTTAAACACCCCGAAAAAGTAGCCAGATCGAGTCTAAGAAACAAACGAATATACTAATACTTCACTACTTGAACCAATAATAGAAATACATTGTAAGTTATTATGCAATATCATCATATAAATTAATGTATGACATATCTTTAAGAACCTCTTAGAAATAGAATTGTGTTACCACAACCCTGACACATTTCTTAAAAGCAGCAGCGGGAAGAAAGGAACAAGGGAAGGGGTGTTGGCAGTCTGGTAAAGAAGTGTTGCAAATTATACATAATAATTTATTAATAGTAGAAATAGCTACCTCACACGGACCTCAATTTCCACAAACCATCTCCCATCGATACTAAACTATGTATCTTAAATTTTTATACACAAACACTTCAGCTATATTACGAGGGATGTCAATGCTCATCATCCACCAGTATATAACTGCCGCGACAAAAAGCCACGGAAAGGGAAGACGCATTCACGCTATTACGAGAACTAGAAATCTTATTTTTCAGGGCCCACTATTTAAAAGTTAGAGAAGAGCGAATGTAAAGAAAATACCAAACACGGAAGGTGGTCTGAATCTGTGTTGGGTTGTGCATGTTGTGTCAAACTTGATTCAGGAAATTGATATTAGTTTCCATGTAATAACTTGTGCCTGACTTTTCCTTTTCACTTAAAATCTTTAACGTTAATATTTACCTGCATTACAAACAGATGCTGCTTTGTGCCTTTAACATGCATCAATTTTTATTTAGTATATTTATACATTGTTTATTATAATCAAAAAGAAGCGCTAAGCCACAAGGGCTATACAGCAGTATATTTATACAGGTTGTGGAAAATTTTGAATTTTCCTAAATTCAGCATGTTTAAATTTGAAAAATATTGCGTATTAAAATGTGATGCTATTTGGACCCTTCGAGAAATTTCGAGTGAGGGGGGGATGCGGAACAGCCGGGGGAGGGACGCCGCACGGGGGACGCCATTTTGTAATTTGTGAGGACTGGTTGTCGTGGAAAATTCAACTATTAATCCGGCATCTACAAGGCCAAATCGGGGTGTTTTGGCCTGGATTTGTAACAGGAACCTGTAGTAATGTCCCCTGCTGAACGATTGGGACAAAAATTTGCAGGACCTCAAGAATTACTTCTCTGGTCCTATGCTGTACTTCCTACAAGAGTGACGGACTGAACATATCGATTCCAGGCTGAGGGACTGATTACCTCCACTCACCTAGTTGCACTCGTCTAGTTGAGGTAGCAGGGGTCGAGTCCTAGCTCCTGGCCCCGCCTCTTTACTGGTCGCTACTAGGTCACTCCCTGAACCGTGAGCTTAAAGTTATGTATGGATCCTGCCTCCACTACATCGCTTCAAAAACTATTCCACTTCCTGACTACTCTGTGGCTGAAGAAATATTTCCTAACATCCCTGTGATTCATCTGTGTCTTCAACTTCCAACTGTGTCCCCTTGTTGCTGTGTCCAATCTCTGGAACATCCTGTCTTTGTCCACCTTGTCAATCCCTCTCAGTATTTTGCATGTTGTTATTATGTCCCCCCTATCTCTCCTGTCCTCCAGTGCCGTCAGGTTGATTTTCCCTTAACCTCTCCTCGTAGGACATACCTCTTAGCTCTGTGACTAGTCTTGTTGCAAACCTTTGCACTTTCTCTAGTTTCTTTACGTGCTTGGCTAGGTGTGGGTTCCAAATTGGTGCCGCATACTCCAATATGGGCCTAACATACACGGTGTACAGGGTCCTCCTCTCCTTATACCTTCCTGCTTTGTATTGGATTGATGAAGCCACTGTGTGGCGAAACGTTTCTTCACTAAAGATTCCCATATGCAGCATAAGTGTCTCATTTCTTTAAGCTGTCGGTTTTCAAAATCGTTTATCACATTCTTTCATGCAGATTTTAAGCTGGCCAGTGTAGGGTCTATGTGTCAGGCAGGTGTTGTGTGATCCATCTACAGTAATTAAATGGTAAGTGGGAATGTGAATTTCCTTTGTGTACCCAGCAAGCCTAATCATATACAGTCCACATTTTTAATTTACCAGAGTACCTGATTTTAACATTGTAATTATTAAATATCAGGTCTAGCTTTTTATGAGAATGGCAGGGAGTGGGCATCGAGGGAGTGACAGTTCAGCGACATGCTGTGACTAAGTCCCACTTAACTCGCCCAAATTACTTGCAGGTAATAATTCAGGTAATGCCCTGTAAACCTCCTGCAAGTAATTTTCTAAAATAATAATAATAATTCATATAAGCCTTTGGTCCTAACGAACTTGGATATATAACTGGGGAAAATTTAATTTAATGGTTTCATTTGAAAGTAATGGACTGCTGGGTTCACATATAATTGACAATGTGGAAAATTGCATTTATCTGAATGTAACTAATTATGTACATAACAGTAAATGATAACAAAGATTATTATTTATCAATGTTACATAGACAAGTAGGAATTTGGGACACCTAGGTCGCAAAAAATGTCCCCCTTCGATACCTACCACTGTCATATCCACAAGTTGCTCTGGACCTATTAATTAAATGAAATATACATACACCAGGAATACTGGTAAATATATAAATTTGTGGACTGTATATTAAAAAATTATATATAAATTCACATATACATACCAGAAGGAAAATATATCTTAATATCACTCACCAATTTGACTGGATATTAAGTTGTATCATACTCAGAAAAACCTCACTAACTAAATTTATGAAAACACTGGCCAGAATTATACACAAATCTAGAGAGCTTATCTGAGGTTCCTGGAGCTGTCTTGTCCAGTCGTCTGATATCTCAAGTTATGAAGGAATGCACATCCAACAATTTCGCCTCCTATTTGAGAGGTGCCAATCCAATTTTAACCTCTAGAGCACGAAAAATTCTTCCCATTATATTAACGTTGTATCCAATTCAAAACCAAGATGGCGATTGTCTCTTCTGCGCAGGCGCAGCTTCCCGTTTTCGATTACATAAATTTTAAATACAGTATGGCCATCTATTTACATTTAATAACTACTGTATTTCTGGAAAATATGTACAGTATTTTCCACAGACAATTAATTAATGGTGTTTGTGTAATGGATTATAGTTGCCACAATTAATTGGATTTGCAAGCCTAATGGGGATGAAATTGTAATTCTTATACATTTGTAATATTAATGGATTTGTGTAATTATATAAATTAATTACTAAGCCCAGTGAGGCTATGATTGTAATTGCAACAATTGTTAAATTGCTAAGCCCAGTCAGGACTAGGAATGATAATTGTCTTCCTTCTGATTATAATAATTATAATTCATTTTGCTAAGCCAGGAAGTATTTGGCTTATAATAATAATTATAATTCATTTTGATAAGCCAGGAAGTATTTAGCTTATAATAAAAATTATAATTAATTTGCTAAGCCAATAAATATTTCGCTAGGATATTTGTTGCATACTGTAATAATTATACCAGTGTCTCATTGTATAATTTATACAACCAGTATTCATTAAAGAGCCATGGTTGAAGGTAATGTAATTAATGCAGATAAATCCACGAGAATTAAGGCTATAAAGGCCTTATTAAATGCAAAAAAAAAAAAGGTCATGTGACCAGAGCTTATAATAAATGCCTGGAATTAGTGGCAGAAGTAACTGTGAATAAGGTTAATTTAGAATTATATTTGGTATCATTTGAGAATAGGTATGTGTCATTTATATTGTGTTACAAAGAATATGAAGATCTGCTGGTGAATTGTGCAGATAATAATGAAAGGGAATTATTAATTAATCAATATTATGAACTGGAAGAGAAAATACTATCATGTAAAAATGAGGTATTAAATAAATTAAAATGTGCAAGTACTATAGTAGACCAATCTAGTAACGTAAGTGCCAAGTCTTTGCCCAAACTCCCAACATTTAATCCAGGAGACAACTGGGAGGAATTCTGGTCAGTATTTAAAGCTGCTGTACATGTGAAGAATGACCTAGCAGATGTCACAAAATTATTTCATCTCAAAGGGCAGATCAGAAGCGATGCCTGTGCTCTGATTCAAGGATTTCAAAATATTGACTCCAGTTACCTGGAAGCAGTTGACTTGTTAAAGGTGATCTATGATAATATGGAGCAAAGTAGGTTAGACCTAGTAAATATTGTGATTATTTTAAGAACTCCACAACACCCCAATGGAAATAAGTCACTGTCTGACTTTTTTGGGTTATCCTAGGTTCTCTACACATATGCTGCTATGTATGATAATTATATGTAACTGTATTTGTGTATACCTGAATAAACTTACTTACTTACTAACACAATTACCACAGTTTGAAACTATTTAGGGCCAAATTTGAAAACACTCTTAAGTCCTTGATTAATAGGTTTGATTAGGGTGAATCAGACTGGATATTAAGTTCTGTCTTACAGAAGAAATTGAACTGCAAGACTAGAGTGGACATCTAATAAAATACCACAAAGGTTATTTTTCTCTGGAGGAAATAAGATTAGGTATACAAGAATTAATTGTTCAGTTAGAGACAAACCAACCAAATAATTATAAGAATGTAACACGTGATGACTATGATGCATCTGCCAGGTCTCACAAATGGAAAAATATCCTTATGTTAATAATCATTATAATTCATCCCATAAAATGGGTTACATAGGCACATATCAAGTGGCAAGAACCAAAAATAATGGTTCTCCACATTAAGAGGAATAAGTACCTTAATAAGAGTGGCCAAGTTAATAAAGGGCAAGTCAAGCAAAAAAAAGTTTTTTTTTTTTGCAAGGGTACTCATTTCTCCACGAATTGTAATGCTTATGATTCATGGGATGGTAAGGTGGAAAGGTTGGAAGAACTTGAAAGATTTATCAGATGTTTAGGTGGTCATAATTCAAATTCAAATTTCTTTATTTCGTTTCAGGTTTACAATGTGGTTGGCATATTTTACGAAATATATTTACATAGGTAGTTTACAGTGAGGGTTTACAATGATTTGTGGTGCAAAGAGAGCCACTATCATGCCTTGGCATTACGGTCAATCTAAACTTAATACATTACTGATTACTTAGCACTAGACGTATAAAACAGTTTCATAAGGCTGCACTAATTATACAAAATGTTATACATCTATTAAACATTTGTTATTATTAGGTTAAAATATGAGAAATTATTGTACTTAGAGCATTTTCTTACGGGGTTCTGAGGCTAGGTGAGTAACACAGTGAGTAATGATATTTTGAGGCGGTGGAGTGTGATTTGTTAACTTTGTAGGCAAAATTAAGTACTGAGTATTTAGTTTTGGGTGAGTAGGTGGCTTTTAAGAAGAGTCTTGAATTGATGTACAGACAGGGTTCCTTTGGTATTCACCGGTAATGGATTCCAGATTTTTGGGTCCTTTACGCGCATTGAGTTTTTTTTTTATATTTTATTTAAAACTCAGGTACACATTGAGTTTTTACATAGTGAGAGCCGGGCACGGGGAACATCAAAGAGTGATCTGTGTCTTGTGTTATGATCGTGTGTTCTGTTAAGGTTAGTAAGGAGAAGTCTGAGTGGAGGGTTTATATTTGTGTGTAGTGCTCTATGTATGTAGTAGGCACGGTAATAAGTATGGTCGTTCTTTATGGTGAGTAAGTTTAGCCTTTTGAATATTGGTGGAGTATGCTGTCTGGAGTGGGAATTTGCTATTATTCTGACTGCTGCCTTTTGCTGGGTTATTAATGGTCTGAGATGATTTATTGTTGTTGAGCCCCATGCACAAATTCCATATGCGAGATAGGGGTAAATGATGATACAGGGTAAAGAGAGCTGGTTGTGGAACATAGTACCGTATCTTGGATAGTATGCCTTCGGTCGTAGAGATTTCTTGGAAATTTGTTGTATATGTGTCTGAAATTTGAGGCTACTGTCAAGGTGGATTCCTAAGAATTTTCCCTCTGTGAGTCTTGTGACAGGTGATCCGTTTATTATTATGATAGGTGGAACATTCGCAGCTCTGTTTCCAAACTGAATGAAATAGGTTTTGTCAATATTGAGAGTAAGCTTGTTAGTCATCAGCCAGATAGATATATTCTGTAGTTCAGCATTTACAGTGTTGGCTAGTATGACTGGGTTTGGGTGAGAGAAGACGTATGTAGTGTCATCTGCGAATAATATGGGTTTGAGTAGTCGAGATGTATTTGGTTGGTCGTTCATGTAAATGAGAAAGAGTAGTGGCCAAAGACACTTCCTTGTGGGACCCCGACTGTAATTGGTTGTGTGGCAGAGTTAGCTCCATTTGTGTACACGTATTGGCTTCTTTTGCTAAGGTATGACTTTAGGTAGTTGAGGGAGTGCCTTGATGTACCATAGTGTGTTAATTTTATGTGCAACAAATCATGGCCAACTGTATCAAAAGCTTTATGTAAATCAATGAAGATTCCCAGTGGGACTTCTTTTTTCTCGAAAGCAGTGTATATTAGTTCTAGCATGTGTATAATAGCATCATTCGTGTTTTTATTAGGCCTGAATCCAAACTGACAGGGGTTGAGTATGTTGTGGGAGACGAGGTAGGAATAGATTTGCCTATGAATTAATTTTTCAAAGATTTTAGAGAGATTAGGGGCAAGTTAGATATCGGCCTAAAGTTATTAAAATCTGCTTGATCTCCTTCGTGGATCGGGGTGACCCTCGCTGTTTTGAGAATTCATGGGAAAGTGGAAGATTCAATGGATTTGTTAAAGAGTGTTGCCATAATTGGTGACAGTACTTGAGAAGTTTTTTTTTTTGTACATAAAGGGTTGTAAGTTATTTAAATCTCCTTTGTTTTTAAGTGTGTTGATGATGAGTCTTCAGTTGGGTTGGCCGGAGCTAGGAATAGTGTAAACGATTGTTATGCCAAACTTAATAATTGCTATCAATGCCACAAGGGAAGGCATCATGTAGTAACGTGTAAGGGTTTGTATATGATGATAATGATTGATAATGATAATAATGTTGATGACCCTGGCACAACAGTTACTAATGTAATAATTGCAGTCAATGTTAATGATGATGGCATAGCTGAAGTAGCCTTACCAGTGGTGAATGTAGAAATTCGGGATAAAAGGCGTAAATTAAAAAATGTACCTGCATTATTGAACCAGGGGTCTTAACACACATTCATCAAGCACAGTTGCTGTATTGGTATGAAAGTGCAAAGGGGGATCCCACAAATCTAAAATGATCTGGGTTTCTGTCAGATAAAAAGGCTCAACTGTACGACATTGTGTATGTAAATGTCAACTTGGGCAATGAGAAAGTATCAGTAGAGTTATAGTTGATAGGCGCCCACAGAAAATCTCTACAATAGGGCTTAGTGAAGCTACTGACTGGCTTTCACAAAATGGTGTAGAATTGGCACCCTCTTGTGCAAATGATGATTCGGTGGGGCCAGTAAGTCTTCTAAAAGGGAGTAATTATTATGCTTCATTATTTATTATTAAAGATTAGCCGGTATTCTCCCGGCCCGGGCCTTTTCCAAGTGGTGGCCCGGCCTTGGCTCCCTCTCTAGGGAGTGTCTGAGACCTAAGTCTCCCATGGGAGGAGGCACAAGTACCTCCTCATCTTTGGGACCAACTGTCCCCAGGCCTAGCCACAAGCTAGGCCTCTCTGGCCTGCCATCCCCGCCCCAAGGGGCTAATGGGAATGACAGTCTTATGAGCTAAAGGCTCAGGCTCAGGCACCTACCCTACCCTAGAAGGGTTAGGCATGGTGTCGATGATTATGCTTCATTTGTAAAGGGTACGGTAAGGAAATATTATGTCACTTTTCTAAAAACAGCAAGAGGCCATGTAATATATGCTAAACTTCCTTGCTCTGATAATAACTAAATGGACAGTAAATATTGTTATTATAATTTAATAATTGTGTTATGTCTAATAAATGGATTAAGAGTCTTGCTTGCTGAAGTTTCCAAAAGCTTCGATCTACTAGGCTTAGTGTCATCCCTTACAATAAGAGGGAAACTGTTAATACAAGAAGCATGGAAACTTAAATGTGTTCTGGAAGATGTCCTATCTAATGAATTTATTTAAAAGGTGGGAAGAATTAATAGGTATTCTTCCTTACCCAAACTAATTAATGTAACATTGTTAGTGTTTAAATTTATAAACAAAATGAATATTTCATATAAATTTCCACATCCTCTGAAATGCTGTAATTAAGTGTATAGATAAGTAATATGCTGAATTATGTAAATATGTAATTTATCCTATCTTTATAACAAAGCCCATTATTTGATAATTTTAATTTCAAATGTGTGTAAAAATTGTAAGGCAAGGTGGAGTACAAAAGTAATTGCAGTTAATTAAGTCGTTTAGCAACAAACTCTGCCCGGCTTCACTGCGGAAAATTTTGAATTTTCCTAAATTCAGCATGCTTAAATTTGAAAAATATAATAATTACGTATTAAAATGTGATGCTATTTGGACCCTTCGAGAAATTTTGAGTGAGGGGGAATGTGGAACAGCCGGGAGAGTGACGCCGTACAGGGGATGCCATTTTGTAATATGTGAACAGTGGTTATCGTGGAAAATCCAACTAATAATCCGGCATCTACGACGCCAAATTGAGGCCTGGATTTGTAATAGGAGCCTGTGTTAATGTTCCCTGCTGAAGAATTGGGACACGAAATTTGCGGGACCTCAAGAATTACGTGTGGAAGTGGAAGATAAGGAATACGTCATCACTCACACAGGAAAGTGCACCATTAGTCCTTTCATGTAGATCTCTAGCTGGCCAGTGTAGGGTCTGTGTGTCAGGCATGTGTTGTGGTGTGATCCATCTACAGTAATTAAATGGTAAGTGGTAGTACAAATTTCTTTTGTGTACCCAGCAAGCCTAATCATTTACAGTCCACAATTTAATTTACCAGAGTGGATGGTTTTAATATTGTAATTATTAGTTTAATGTCAGGTCTAGCTTTTTTGTTAGAGTGGTAGGAGGTGGGCTTCGAGGGAGTGACAGATCGGCGACCTGCTGTGACTAAGTCCCACTTACCTCACCCAAATTACTTGCAGGTAATAATTCAGGTAATACCTTGTAAACCTCCTGCAGGTAATTTGCTCACATAATTATAATTCATACAGGTAGCCGATTCCAACAGTCTAATAGGTCATACTTTATTTACTTTATATCCTCTTACAAATCACGTTTAATAAATTATATTACTATTCACCAATGTTATTTCATTTTGAATTTAATGTTTAAAGGTTAAATTTAAATTACCTTGGTGCTACTCCTTGCTGGGTTGATGTGAATTATATTGAATCTTCCAGCACTGGTGCGTGGAGCTGTGATGAGGTTGTGCAGTCACCATCACTGGCGTGTGGAGCTGTGATGAGGTTGTGCAGTCACCACCACTGGCGTGTGGAGCTGTGATGAGGTTGTGCAGTCACCACCACTGGCGTGTGGAGCTGTGATGAGGTTGTGCAGTCACCACATGCGACTGTGATGTTGTGCAGCCACTGGTGGGAGCTGTGATGAGGTTGTGCAGTCACCACCACTGGCGTGTGGAGCTGTGATGAGGTTGTGCAGTCACCACTGGCGTGTGGAGCTGTGATGAGGGTGTGCAGTCACCACCACTGGCGTGTGGAGCTGTGATGAGGGTGCATAATCACCACCACTAGTGTATGGAGCTGTGGTGAGTGTACGCAATCAACACCACTGCAGAATGAATACTGACGCCTCGTCTGTCAGCCTTGGCATTAATTTTTACCAGTGCACTTCAGCTACGATATTTTCGCCACTTTTATTTTCCAAGACTTCCAATAACTAATTACTAACATATATACTACACTAAATACTAACTAAGCGTCTAACTTTTAAGACCTTAACTCAATAAATACTCTTCGTAACGAGTGGTTGACTACGACACAATCAGCGTGAACTTCTCATTGGTAGACAAAACCATTCCAATCGTCACATTTCAGATCAATTTTAATGAACAAATGAAGACTTTTTTGAAAAATATGGTTCTTCACTGGGATTCTAACTTTATTTTCTATGACCATGAAACTACTTTTATTAACCAAAGTACTGATACCAGTTTGCTAGGCGTTAAATAACTAGCGTGGGTAACCTGCCCAGCTGACAACCTTCCTACCTCCCGGACCACCGGACGATTACTCCGTTAAACTTAAGATTTAAGCTTAAAATTTAAACTAGTGTTTTTCAAACTCGGGCAGCCAATATCTATGAATACAACTTTTTTTTTGAGTGTATCGAAATAACATACTCTAATTAGTATAATACAAGAGTATAAATATTTTTTAGAGACAGATGTCTACTATATATTCTCATACTTTATTATTATTATTATTATTATTATTATTATTATTATTATTATGAAGCGCTGAAACTGAAGGGATTATCAAGACCTGAGGGATGAGGTAATTAGGTTTGATCCAAGGAAGAAAAAAAGTTAGCCTCTCGACCTGTACTTCTTAGAACGCAGGCGAGAAAGGTACATGATAGAGGAGCTAGTCTCAATTCTACACGCCGAAATCATTCCCTACGAAAGCAAAAGACTAGACAGGCGGTGTAACATCCCCCCAGTGATAGGCAGGGGCGCCATGAATACTTTAAGAGTTAACACAATAAGTGTCAGGGGCCTAAGACTGTTCAGTTGCCTCCCAGCATACATAAGGGGGATTACCAATAGATCCCTGGCTGTTTTCAAGAGGAAGCTGGACAGATACCTAAAGTCAGTACCTGACCAGCAGGGCTGTGATTCGTACGTCGGTCTGCGTGCGGCCAGCAGTAACAGCCTGGTTGATCAGGTCCTGATCCACAGCGAGACCTGGTCATGGACCGGGCCGCGGGGCGTTGACCCCTCGGAATGCCCTCCAGGTATACTCCAGGTAAGAGTCCTTCCTCGGCATCAAGGCATCCCCTCCCCCTTGAAGGGGTAAAAAACTCATGTGAAAATTAGTACGAGTCAGTTTACAAATAGTGAAGGAGAAGACGTATGACGTACTGACCCTGTACTTAGCATTAAGTAAGTACCTGGGTGTTAGTCGACTGGTGTGGGTCGCATCCTGGGGTAAGGACCCCAATGTAAATAAGACAGTCCCCGATGACGCACTGACTTTATTAGGTTATCCTGGGTAGCCGACACTCACCTGAGTTACTAATTCGAACAAAATCTTAACCTAAGTATCAGCATCCAGAAGTTATCCCACACAGAGATGCTATGGGTGAGTCTCCCGACCAATGGAGACTCCGCCTGGCTGTGACATCACTAGCGCCTGCGTTCTTCGCCAATGAGACGCCACGGAAATGATGTCGCTTTGCCGTATCTTTTAAAACACAATCAATTACTGTCTCGCTATCGGTTTGTTCAAGGTTTCATTAACCCTCTATGGTTGATGCAGTTTATTTTATCGTCATCACTACCTAAACCAAGATGAAAAAGCCGTCGACTGTGTGAGATACATCCGACCAATCTCGGTGCGGAGTGTCGGTGACGGCATTGGAAGAAACCTCCACCAATGAACGCCCGAGGAGACAGTGACGTTGACTGTGACTTTTGACACCAGGCAAAACGTAGGATCCCAGCGGTGTGAGATCGAATTAAGAGCGCTCAGTGTACGCCTGGTTTACCTGTGCCACGGTTGTGTGGTGCGCTCTCCCGTGAGTGCAGTGACTGATGTCGCTGCTGTTTCACTTTATATCTCTCTATCCCTGTCTCTTTCTTCTGTATTCCTGTGATTACTAACTGCAGTGATGTGCACGCCAAGTATTACGGTGTCATAGACCCTTTCAAAGTGTTCTAAAAGGATTGGGATTTGGAAGAGGATTAGTGATCAGCGTCATCATGCTGGACGGTAAGTCTCACTAAAGTGTGTATATGACGTCGAGTATATAGGATGCTGGGTGTCACAGTTGAGGGTATATATTGTTAAGTATACTGGAACTCTAATACGGGTACCACCACTAACCCAGAATGCTGGTACTCAATAGTAGCACAGGTACTACCACTTACCCAGGATGCTGGTACTCAAGAGTAGCACAGGTACTACCACTTACCCAGGATGCTGGTACTCAAGAGTAGCACAGGTACTACCACTTACCCAGGATGCTGTTTACCTGCACAACAAAGACGATGCAGTGTTGCGAACAAAGTGAAGTATATGCTTGATGTGTTGTCGCGTCCCGTCGACAGTCCAAGCAGGGCGACTGTGTCTGTGTATGCAAGCCGATGAGTGTGTAGGGTGAGTGTGTAGGGTGAGTGTGTAGGGTGAGTGTGTAGGGTAAGTGTGTAGGGTGAATGTGTAGGATGTGTGGAGTGAGTGTAGGGTGAGTGTATAGGGTGAATGTGTAGGGTGAGTGTGTAGGGTGAATGTGTAGGATGAGTGTGTAGGGTGAGTGTGTAGAGCGAGTGTGTAGGGTGAATGTGTAGGGTGAATGTGTAGGGTAAGTGTGTAGGGTGAGTGTGTAGGGTGAATGTGTAGGGTAAGTGTGTAGAGTGAGTGTGTAGGGTGAATGTGTAGGGTAAGTGTGTAGAGTGAGTGTGTAGGGTGAATGTGTAGGGTAAGTGTGTAGAGTGAGTGTGTAGGGTGAATGTGTAGGGTAAGTGTGTAGAGTGAGTGTGTAGGGTGAATGTGTGGGTAAGTGTGTAGAGTGGTGTAGGGTGAATGTGTAGGGTAGTGTGTAGAGTGAGTGTGTAGGGTGAATGTGTAAGGTGAGTGTGTAGCGAGAGCATGTAAGGTAAGTGTGCAATGTATTAACTTTTATATGGTAGAAATTGTTACACTTACTATCTGTGCACATTGTCACTGCTACCATGTGTGCACACCGTTACTGCTACCATGTGTGCACATTGTCACTGCTACCATGTGTGCACACCGTTACTGCTACCATGTGTGCACATTGACACTGCTACCATGTGTGCACATTGACACTGCTACCATGTGTGCACATTGTCAGTGCCACCATGTGTGCACATTGTCACAGCTACCACATGTTGACATTGCTACTACAACCATGTGCATATATAATTAACATATGGAAATATTTACTAAACATACATTCTGAGAATTACAGACAGGAGGGGCAAAAGCTGCCGCCGGACTGACACTTCTACACTGGCACATCAGAAGGAAGACCACAGTAATGCCTAGGTAACATGACTGAAGAAATGAAGGGGTGAAGAGAGATGACTACCTCACATGGAATGACAAGAAGTCTGCTTGGAGCTAAAAATACGATCTAAGGACGTAACCATTGTGAAGACAGAGGCAACACCGGGAAGTCAAAGGGAGTGAGTGCATCAACGGATAATGGGACACCATTAGCACAACAGGAAAAGAAACTGCTAAGTTAACTGTGCATTTCAAAGGCAATGGGAGCAGAACAAAAAAAGTTTTGAACCTCTGTATAACGTCAGCTTCTACTGTGTTAGTGACAGTACTCTTTCGTCGAAAAAAAAAATGATTCCCAGCCTCTTTATGACTCAGTAATCTTCTACCCTTTATACTGGAGTATTTTGTATGTAGTGCTTATATCTCCCCTTGTTCTACGTTTTTCCCCTGACATAATCTCTCGCTGGTGCGATCTTCCTTCGCAGCTCCATCAACAGTTCGAGCTCAGAGCTAGAACTTCCACTGTGATTCACTGTGATCCCATTTACCTTCTAGGAGTACAATGAAGCTGGTTCACTGTGATCTCACTTGCCTCACAGGTTGTACACTGTATGCACTGCTTCTGGTCTTATTTCTAGCGTTGTCAGGATTGACGAATCAGACATGTGGAACACCTGGGTGTCTTTGTCTTGCACCTGTGTCTTATTCACCAACTTGTATACCACTGTACACAATTGATGTAATGATAGTTGTCAGGATTCATTACTTACCACTGAGTCAGAGTTCTCCTGACTCACCAAGCCAGCCCTCCACAACACTCGCAACGTCCTCCCAGTAGAAATAAACAGCGTGGGAGCCAGCGACTTGTCCTGAGGGGCAGCAGCATAGCCCCGTCCTTGACACTGCGACCGGATGGACGTCTGCAATAATGGGGCGTGGGAAGGGAGTCATCCCTAACTGTGGGAGCGTCTTCCAACCACCTAAATGTTCCACCCTGCACACACATGTAGGTGTGCTTGCAGTAGCTGAAAAGTTGAAGGTGGAGGATGAAATGTTTGCCATATGGCAAGAAACACAAAAAAATATAAACACCGGGCATGGATTGATTAAAAGACAAATACTGCACACGTATGTAGACAAAGTTTTGAAGTGGTTGGTGTCTGCTACAATGTTTAAACATTACTACACAAAAAAAAATTTTTCTTAAAATGTTCTTTAAATTTTTCCCCCCTCCCCCTTTATTTTTCAAAATTCCCAATCAGAGTTTCCTACCCACCCGGTTTCCCAAACCCAAACCCCCCCATGAAAAAAATTTTACCCACTTTCCTTTCCCAGCCCCTTTTCCCTGGGGTGCCCTGTTTTGGGGTAAAACCCAAAAGGGCCGGGTCTAACCCCAGTTTCCCCCTTCCCTTGCCGGGATTTAAAAAACTTTTGGGGAAAAAACCCAGGGAGGCCTTGGGCTTTGGGAAAAACCAAACCCCAAAGGGGCGTTTTTTTCCCCAAAAACCCCATAGACCATTTTTCCGGATAGCTTTTTCCCCTTTCCCCTTTTTAAAAAATTTTTTTTTTTTAAAAGGAAACTTTAAAAAAATTCGAAACCCGGCTACTTCCCCAATTTTCCAAAAAAAAATTTTCCTTTTAAAACCAAAAAACAAAAAACTTCCCCCCTTCCCTTTTCCCAAATTTTTTTAAAAACCCCCATTACCCTAAAACCCCAAAAAATCCCAAAAATTTTTCCCTACAACTACCCCCTTAATTTTATAAAACACTTTTTTCCCCTACAAAAAAAAAAAATGCCCCCACTTAAAAAATAAAAATTTTATAAAAATTTTTCAAAATTTTTTTCCCAAACCAAAAAATTAAAAAAAAAACAAAAAAACCCCTTCTAATCCTTAAAATTTCCAAACACAACCCAAATTTTCCCTCCAAACAATTAAAAGGGGCAAAAAGATGTCAAAAAGTGCCCATTTTCCCAAAAATATTGCTCCCTTTTTTTTTTACAAATTTAAATAATTTTTAGAAAGCTGTGCAAACCCACTTTTTCACCCTTGAAATGGAATGAAAAACCCCTTCCCGTTTTAATTTTCCCGTTTTCCCTTGCCTTTGGTAAAAAAGGGTTAATTTCCCCCGCAATAAAGAAAAAAATTTGTATTTTTTAAAATGAAAAAGTTGAAGGTATTAACCCTTTAAGTTTGATTTTGTTTTTCATTTTGTTTTCTTTTTAAATTTTTTTTTTGTTTTTAATAAAAGCCCAATAATTTCACCCATTTTTAAAAAAAATCTATCACTGCCGCCTTAAGTTCCTTTTTTTTAAGGAAAAATTATTAATTATTTAAAAATTTTTTTAAAAATTAAAAAACAATAATAATAATTAATAAAATAATAAAATTTAAAAACAAGAAAAAAAAATTTATAAAAGTTCATAAAATTTTTTAAGTTTTCTCTTCAAAAAGGGGAAATAACAACACAATTTCACCAAAAAATTTCCCCTTCCTCAACTTTTCTGTACCTCATTAACCGAAAAACCCAAAGTTTAACGAAATTTGGCACAAGAGCGATGATCCCAGCGCCATCACGGTGACAACAAGGGTGGTGACTTTTAGCGGATCCAACGGGATTATAGTCAAATTAGTGTGATTTTCACCCTCTTGATGTAAGAGTCACCCCCGGGTAAGGGATAGCCTTCAGGGTGCAGGAGTTCCTTCGGGCCAGGAAACCCTTCAGGGTACAGGAACACCTTCGGGGTGCGGGAGTCACCTTAAAGGTACAGGAGAAACCCTTCAGGTACAGGAGTAACCTTCAGGATACAGGAGAAACCCTTTCAGGGTGAGGAGTAACCTTCAGGGGCAGGATCCCTTTAGGGTAAAAGAGTCAATTCGGGTTGGGGGAGAAAACCTTCAGGTCAGGAGTCACCTTCGGGGTACAAAGTAACCTTCGGGTGCGGGATAACCTTCCGGGTGCAGGAGTCACCTTCGGGGTGAGAAGCCCCTTTTCAGGGTGCAGGATTTCCCTTGGGGGTTAAGTAAATACCAACGTCATGATCCTTTTTTTATAAAACCCGTTTGACACTTTTTGACAGGGTGGTTGTGGCCGACACGACGCTGCATTACCAATTAAAAGACTGGCACTTCTGACTACAAAAAAACTTTTTTTCTGACCCTTCTGGGACATTCTGCACTCACCTAGTTGTAGAACAGAGATTAATTCACAGCTCCTGTCCCCCCCCTTTTTTTCATATTTTAGGCTTTATTGTTTAATTTTTTTTAATCATTAGCAAACAGAACAAGTATAAACTCGATCCACTCGGGATGACTTTATGGGGGCGTTAAAAAGCTTCACTTACTGACCCTTGGGGGACCCCTTCGGTACCGTTCCCAGGATGTTTTTATCCCTTTTTTTTTTTTTTGTTTTCTGTTCTTCACACACTGATCATAGACCCTTGACACTGAATTCCACCTTTTCTTTAGTTTGTTGTTGTTTTTTGGGTTTATTGATTTTTTTGTTTTTTCAGTTATTTTATGCTAAAAAACTCGAAAATAACACAGTTCTCAAAAAATAAAAACCCCAAATAATTTTTAAAAAAATTTTAAATTGGTGGTAAATTTAAAAAAATTATGCAATAAAACCTAAAATTTATAAAATAAACGTCAAAAAAAATTTTTCTTCATAAATCTGCCGGAAGTGAAATTTGGGAAGCAACGAAAACTTACAAAATACTAACGAATGGAGTCATATCTTGAGTT